GTTCCGAAGGCGGAGGGGGTCGTATCTGCCCCCACCGCCCGGGGCTCCCCGGCAGCGGCCACCCACAGTTTCCCTTGCCCCGCCAGCCTCGGTCTCTTCCCCCCGTAGCCACCGCGGTGCCCGGGCTGCGGAATGCGCTGGGACGCAGCGCAGACGGGATTGAAATTCAACTTCTGACCTGCGACCCCGTGCGCCCAGCTCGCTGCCTTGATGGGGAAGCGGTGTTCCTTTTCCTCCCAAGTCCTCCTCCAGCCTGAGGGTGAGGACATCCGCTTTAATCGGGGCCTCGCTGCTGCACCCCTGAGGGGTTACACCTGTCACCGAGTGTTGGGTTTTCTTCCTGGCTTCCCCTGTCCAGTGGTGAAGGCGCTAGTCCCGCGACCCTGCAGCGGAGGACACCTGCTTGTCCCCCTCCGCAGCGGCCGGATTTAGGACCCTGGGTGGCCATTTGGAAATGGTGTGTTCAGACGAAAATGGTTTAGTTTGATGTGCCTCTAAAAATATTCTTTTGAGTGGCTTAAACTGGACTGTGGGACGAGGCAGAGGAGCATCCTGCTGGGAGAACAGTGAAAGAGCCAGGGAGGTCTTTAATTTGGGGAGATTGTGGGTGACTTCAAGGCAATCTGTTGGCGCCAGAACAGATCTTATTTGGTGCTCATAGCAACTTCGCTTGGGGGGTAAAAGTTGAAAAAAAATTATTTTTATTTTGGGAAATGTTAATTTGCAAACTTGTAAATTAATAACAGTACTTAAAGAACTCAGAAATCCATTGTATATTCCATGATATCACTCCAATACCATCATCTGCACTAAGCAGGATAAATCCATTGCCACTAAGAGCCAAACAGATGGCAAGCTACGAGAAATTATATATTTTCTAAGTATTTCTGTTTTAATGTAATGAGCTCTTATATTGTCTCATTACTTAATCAGTCTTTAAATAGCTCAAGTAAATCGACTACACTAGGAGAAAAAAAAAAAACTCCAAGAAAATTGCATACCTGGGCAATGGATATACTGCTACACACTACTGAAAATATTTCACTTTTGGTTGTACCTTAGCCCTTAGATGCCTCCCTCAGTTGTGGAGAGGAAATGCAATCTGACCAAGATCTAGTCTTAAAGTTTGTTCTTGTTCACAGCCAGGCTGTCCCTGTCCTTCCCTGTGTGATTAGCTTCATGCAGTAAGTAGCTCAAGAGGCAAGCTGGGAGAGACAGTGGTTGTAGCTGAATAAATTAATTCACCAACAGCTCAGTGCAAAGTCTGTAATTTACTGATGATGGGTTATCGGTAGGATTGCTGTGCATAAAGCCAATATATAAACGTATTTTTATCTCTTCGTCATTAAAATATAATAAATTGATTAGTTTGATCATTAAACTGATGAAATAAAGAATTCTGAAAGAGAAAAAAAGAGAATCTCTTAAAAGACGAAGCCAAATACTACTTATCTGGGTCCTAGTTGTAACTCTGATACTTTGGATGAGTCAGTCAGTGCCTCTGGGCATCAGGTTTCCACTGTGCAACATAAGGAGTTTGGCTTAGATGATTCTGACACTGTGCAGCTTTAATTTGATTCATGAAAGTGAGGACTCAGTTTCTGGTCACCTGCTGGAAGATTTTTCAAGTGCACCCCAGTTTCCCAGGTTGTTTTGATGCCCTTCGATGTGCACTGAGGTCACCTGCTGCTTTGGCTCCATCAAAACATTTCTCACACTGTTGCATCTTTCTCCTTCCTCCTTGAATGGAGCTCCTTCAAGGAAAGACTGTTTCTAAACTCGTCGTTGTGTTCTCAGTGTCTGACCTTGTCCCCGATGACAGTAGAAAAATCACACGTGGGTGTAAGTTAGTGTAAGTGAATTAAGGACGGCAGTAAACTTCATCACCGTTAAAATATAAGGATTTAGTAGTGAACTGAGGTACAGTTTATAGATTCACAACATTTTGGCC